GCCGCCTCCCGCAGCCCCTGCCGCCACAGCCTGCGGCAGCCGAGGCCAGCAGCCCACCCCCGGCTGGGAGGAACGTGTGCGCTGCCCCTCGGGCTCCCGGCACGGCCGCCTGCCCCGGGACAGCCGGCATCCCTGGTGCCTCAGGCCCTGGGGCAGGAGCCGCTCCCCACGGTGGCAAATTGCCACCCTCCCTGAAGGCAAAGCCCTGCTCGTCCCGTGGGCCTTCTGCCAGGACCTGGCCTTTGCTGGCTGTGGGCTGAGGAGAGGTCCGTGCCTGCAGCCCCCTTGGCCCCTGCCTGGTGCGGGCAGGATGCCTGCCTGCTGTCCCCAGGGCTGCCCCAGCACCCTGTGCCAGCTCTACACGTGCTCAGCCCCACATGCCAGCAACACCTCTGAGGCCCAGGGATGCAATGCCCTCCAGCTCTTCAGGGCTGCACCGGCTGCTAGAAGAGTCCTGCCTTGAAGCCTTTCCTCCTCCCTCAGCCTCGAGGAGCACACCCCAGCCCATGGGGAATGAACGGAGAAATCCTCTGGCAGCTCAGGCGCCTAATTGCCGCTGAATCCTGGGGCAGTGCTGGCTGCCAGGGCTGCCTGCCCCCATGGCTGGGCTGAGGGGAAGCTAAGGGTCTTGACCTTCCTTGGAAATCTCAGCCTCTCTCACCAGTACCAGCTGCTGCTTCTCTTACCACACTGCTAAGGCTCCGCAGCAGTGAGCAGGGCCAGGGCCAACCAGGCACTGCTGGCACTGACACTGTGTCTCCTTGCCCCAGCCTGGAGCAGCTGCTGGGTCTCACTGCACTGGTGCAGGAGGGGGATTTCAGACTTCCTGAGAAGGGGCTTTCACATCTAGGCCAGCCAGCGTGGAATAGTCTGCTCTTGAGCGCTATTGCAGGAGAAGCTGCTTCTGAAGTCAGGGGGTATCGCAAATGACTGAGCCCAAACCCAGAACCTCATGAAAATCCAGTTTTGCACATGGGTGCAGCTGCACGCACAATCCTGAGTCAACAGTGCAGAGGACTGTGTGATTCCACTACTAACTGGGTGTCCAGCCATGAAAGCCTCTGTCGCTGGTTTGATGACCATCAGCCAGCCCATGGGGCAAGGGAGCTCTGTGCTGTAGTAGCAACATTCACTGCAATCCCACCAGAGGTTCCTCAACAGGGAGAAGGCTCTCTCCAAGGGTGTGGGACATGGTGCTGCTGGGATGCCAATTGCTCCGAGGTTTGATATGGAGTTTGGGTCACACAGAGTCCAGTTAGTCGCTGGCACCCTTCCCTGGGAGACAGCTTGTAAGAGTGGGCAACATCCCTGACAGCCAGAGCTGACTTTGGCTTCTGGGGTGCCCTCCCTGATGCCACAGCAAGGGCTGGCCCATCTCCATGCTGCCCAGCAGGGAGTGCTCCCTCCCCATGGCCCTTCCCTCTTTGCCAGGTGCGTTCTGATAGTCTGGAGTGTGGACCCCATGCTCAGCCTGCACAGCTGAGTCCTCCTGCAGAGCCCTGTAGACTCAGAGCAGTGGCGGGTGGCTCTCCCTGCCCATCGGCTGCTGGCTCTGGCTGGCCTGTGTGGGGACAGCCACAGCTTGGAGAACAGCAACATTAGGACAAAGCTGTGCTCCTGGTTGTTTTAGGTGGGTGCTTCTTTGCATGGCGATGTTTGTTGCAGGTCCTGAGACAGTTCTGCAGGATCCTTTCATGACCTGGATTTCTGAGCACCTTGCTGGGGCAGCAGAGCACAGCTGGCTTCCTGCAGCCACAGCAGGATGGCTTCTGCCTCTGTCCCCTGCACCACCAACCTGGAAAGGAGAAATTGTCCTCAGGAACTGCCTGGCCTGGCGTTGCTCACAGCATCCACAGTGTGGGCTTGGCCTGCTCAGGTAGCAACATCTGCTGGCATTCACTCTGGATCAGGGGAGGTAAATGTCCTCTGGCAGCTGACCCCAGCTGCCTTGTCCTCAGGGGAGCTGGCAGTTCCCTTCATGCAGTGGTAGAGCTGCCTGCACCTGAGAGCCACAGCTCAGGTAGTCCCTGCTTCTCCCTCCTTGGGTCTGGGCTGGTCTGAGGCAGAAACTGTTAACTTATCTATGCTACTTGGCTGCAGAAGGGGATAAGATGCCATTTGCAGGAATTGCAATAGCTCCTGCACATGAACTGATGCACGTACATCTAGGCCAGCTGGGGGGGGACGGGGAGGGCTGAGGGAGGCGGGATAAAGCAATTGTGCACCTATAAGCAGTGCTCTGTCACTATAAATGTGTCCACATGAGGGGTCTGTGCCACTGCTACCTAGCACGGCACAGCAGTCCAAGATTAAGCACAGCACTCGGAAAAATGTCCACAGATCCAGGCTTGGGGCTGTGACACTGAAAGGAGTTAAATTTTATTTTAGGGTCCCAGAACCCCCTTATTCTCACTTGGCATTTCTAGCTGACGCTGTGGTCTGGTATGTCCTGCGCCAGTGACAGCATCTGTTTATTGTGCTCTTAACCCATCTCCCCCCCCCACCACTCTACCCCCCCCTGCTATGCACACCATTGCCAACCTGACCTCTGTGTGCAAAGCAACCCCCACTCTGCACACTTGTTCATCTACTGCCTGTAGACTGTATTGGAGAACTGGAGCTTTCAGCTTCTTAGAAGTTATTTGGGTTTTGGCTTTTTTTTGTTGTTGAGTTAGATCAGTCCCAGAGCCAGTACACAACGCAGCCTGCAAACTGTCGCATTAATGTACCTGCAAGTGCTGCAGAGAGGTGCAGCTCAGTCTGGTGCTGATGGAGGTGAGAGACTGACTCACTGCTGTCACCGGGGGTGTTGGAGAGAGCTGCAGAATAGCACAGTGCTCCTTGCGCTGTGCAGAACAGAGCTCCCCTGTGAACCTCATGCATTGCAATGAGCCTGATGCCTCCTGCACAGCACAGAGCAAAGCACTGCAACACACCAGTGAATGTGCGGAATGACACTGCCCACACTGCACAAAGTGGCTGCAGCACCTCCCCAAATAGAAGAGCTGCTGGGGCAGAGGGTGCAGCATGCCCCACAAGCTGGGCTATAGGTGCTGCATCATTTAGACTGGGGTGGGTGGGAGGAGAGCAACAATAAAAAACTGGGCAGTAAAGAGACCCTGGCATGACAGAGCCATGCAGGGAAAGGACCTTGAGAGGTCTCTGGTCCAACACCTGCTCAAATCTGGTCCCGTTAGCTCAAGATGCTGAGGAACTTGTCCAGCCGACTTCACGAATCTCCAAGGATGGCGATCCCATGTCTTCAGGCCCCTGTTCCAGTGTCTGACCACCTTCCTAGTATTTTTTTTTTCCTTACAGCTATATGGAATTTCCCATGTACCACCTTCTGCCTGTTGTCTTGTGTCCTGGAGTAGGAACTGGCGGGGGGAGGAACTCTTTCGTGGATATCCAAATCTGTATGGGGTATGTGCATGTGTATGCTTGCACATGCATACACAGAGTAAAAGGTAGATACAGACATATGTATATACATGGACATGCATTTATTTATACATATGTTTATACATATATATACACACATATGTACAAACAAAACTTATTTTGCCCTCTTGAAGACAGTTTCATCATTTACAAGGGAATTCTCTCTACCCAGACCCACGCATTTACCTGGACAATGGTTCTTAAAGAACTAGGAAAGGAGTAGTGATTGCATCCCATGGGGTGTTTATTCACTCAGTGGTCCCCTCTCAGGAAAAGGTTTTCAGTGCAACAAAGCTAGTTCATAGCATTCTCTAACAATGGGCTTGTATGAAGATTTGATGGGCGCAACATGGTGCTGGTGCCACTGTTGTTTATTCAACCTCTCCAGGACTTGCTCGGATGCTTAGCTGCTCACATGGATACTAGGGGCTCACAGAGGAGTTCCCCAGGAGGTCATGCCGGGCTTTTTTTCCCAAAGCTAGTGTGCAGCAGTGGCTGCGATGGGCCCTCTGGTTCCAGTACAAGCAGACTTGAGGCAGGGCAGAGGAATGCTGTGCTGTGGGGGAATCTGTGCTGCTGGGGGTTGCCTTTAGGGAGCAGCTCACTGTACTCCTGGCCTTGGTCAGAAGTACCACGTGATGACCAGAAGTCATCACTGCAGGAATCCTGCAATGCAATGAACCTATATCCTGGTGGGGATAAATTGTTTCTAACTGCACATGGGCAGGAGACAAATAATATCCCTTCCCACTGGCCTGGCACCTGGGAAGGGTCATGAGGACCCCCCAACCACCTCCAATTCCTTTACAGCCAGCTCCACAGCAGCACACAGAGTTTAGGGTGCAGCTGCAGAGGGGATTCAGCAGCTAGCCTGGTCATGATGACCTCAACAGTGGCATGCAAACTCCCGGTGGGTGTATTTATCTTCAGTGTCAAAGGAAAATGAGCCAAGACCTGAAAGAAGTTATCAAGGGCATGCTGGAATTGGGGTTTAGGAGGAGAGAGAGACTGTACCCACACTCTGCTGTGCTGCTGCTCACTCAGGTGCTGGGCAAGCTATGAAGCACTTCACAAGACTGCAGTCCTTGATGATCCCTTGCTAGCCAGGACTGCTGAAACCTTTCCCAAACAGGGGCTCCCACTCACCTGCCTATGCTGGCCCTTTCACAGCCTACCAGCTTGTGCCAGTGTCCTCAGGTGCCAGGCTGACGTCTCCTGCAGAGGGCTTTGTGAGGACCTGTGCTGTGGACTTCTGCAGCTACAGGCAGGCCAGATGATACCGAGACATGAATGGGCATAGGGTGCAGGTGCTGTAGTGGGAGCATATTGGTGCTGTATCTTGGTAAGCACAGGCCAAGGGAGCTGGGACATTGTGTCACACCTCTGCCCACTCTTTCAAAGAGGCAGGGCTGATTGGGAATGGAAAAGTGCAGACTGATGGCATGATCTCTGCTCTGGCCATCTCTTTTAAAAGCACCTCTGCATGGACCCAGTGTGTGGTCCCAGCTGCCTCAGTGCTGGGTAGTACTGCCCCATGCCATGGCTGCTGCCCACCTATGTCCCCCCCTGCCAGGAGGCTGTGCCAGCTCAGCTAGGGCTGCGAGAGGGCCCTTGGGGCTTTGCAAGTTGTGCCCTGTGGGGCTTGTCCTGGCCTGGTCTGCTGTGCCCAGGCTCTCTGGGAAGTGTTGTAGACCTGTGGCATGGCCAGTTTCCAGCCTGGGGGTTGCACACCCTGGATGTGCTTATGGCATGAGTCTGCATCCCTTACTCCTGCCCTGCAGCACCCACACCCTGCTGCAGCCACTGCTTCAGCTGAGTGGTGCTGGCTGGCTGTGGCAGGGTCCTTATGGTGCTGCCAAGGAGCTGGTGTGGTCACCGCTGCTGCTAGGGGCTGCATCATGCAGGGACAGCCCCCCCCCCCGTGCTGCTGCCTTGGCACATTCTTGTGGCGTGCAGAGCAGAGTGGAAGGTCCGCCTGTGCCCTCCCTGACAGCAGCCTGAACATGGACACAGCAACTCCTGCCCCTAAACATGGACACAGCAGCTTCTGCCTCAGCCTGTCCTGGTCCAGGACCGTGTGAAGCCATGCGGGCCACCTTGGTGCTGAGCTGTGCTCCAACAGTGGGATAATGCTGGGCTGGGGCAAGGCAGGGCAGGGCTGGAGTGCTGCTGCTGAGGCCTGGCCCCACTGCCAGATGAGGACATGCTATTTTTCTTGACAGGGACACTGCTGTTCAGCGCAGACCCCTTCCTGCTGGGGATGGGAATGGTGTTCCACAGCCCAGAGGCTGCCCGTGCCCAGCACAGGCCCTTGCACTGGGGCAGCACACTGGTATGGGGTGGCTGGCAGTGCATCCTCCCTTAAGGAAACCAGGGCCACTGTTGTTGTGCCAGCAGCCCACGATGGCCTTGCCTGCCCGCTCATGAGCTGGAGAAAAGGGCTTTTGTCTTGGCTCTTTGGGACCATGTCAGAGCCCGCGGGGAAGCTGCTGGCACTCTCTTCCCCTGGGTGCAAGCAGAGGGGCAGCAGCCCCCCTCAGCACCCATTTGCAAGATGCGGGCACAGCCGGGCACCGGGTCTGTCTCCAAAGGGCTGTGCACTGGCAGTGGTGCCACCACCGGCAGGACCTGGCCAGGGCTGTGGGTGCCCCGAGGGGGGCTGCAGACCCCCACGGGCACCAAGTGGCCCAGGAGGGGCTGCCCAGGGCCGTGTGGCCCCAGGGCTGTCCTCCCGCGGCTCCTATTGGCACGGCCACAGCTCCCAGCCCCGACCCCGAAGGCAGAGTGCAGGGTGGGCGAGGGGTTTGCCTGGAGCCCCCGGCCCGGGGCTGGCTCTGGCGCGGGGTGCAGGCTGTGCCGCTGGCCAGGGGCACCCCGGCGGGTCAGGGCAGGGCTGGGATGGGGAGGGAGGCGCCGGGGCTGGGCCGGGCGGGATCCCGTGCGGGAGATGATGTATGGGCAGATGTATCAGATCGCACAAGATAAACAAGCAGTGAATTTCATCAGGGCCCATCATGGCTTTAATTTGGCTGCCTAATGAGTCAGATCCAGCCGCGCAGATAAAAGTTGTCAGAGCCGCAGCCCTAATGAATTTCTTGCCACTTGTAATCAAGGCAGCTTGTCTGAGGGGGATGATTAATGGGCCCCAGAGGAGCTGCCGTCCCTCGGCTTCCATTCCCACTAATGCAGTCGCCAGGAAATTAACCAAACCCAGCACCGGGCTGGGGCTGGGGCCGGGGCCAGTGCAGGGGCACCGATGTGCGCTGCGAGGGAGAGCAGGCACTGGGAACGAGGGGCAGGCACAGGCGGGGACGGCTGGGACCGGGACCGGGATGGGGACCACGGCACTGCCACACGCAGCCGGCACACACAGATAGTTAAGGGGCTGGTGGAGGGGCCACCACCAGTGAGGCAGCCCTCTGCCATGGGAAGGGCACAGGGAGGAGGCAACAGGGGTCTGGAGGGGACTGCTGAGGGTGACCTGTGGCAGGTGGGGTGCCCGGGGTGTTTTAATGCCGCCTTTCCTTACAGCACTGCCATGCAGGCTTGGGGAACCAGACCTGTGCCCAGTCCCAGGCACTGGAGCCCCGAACTGTCGCTTGTGGTATGGCTTTGGGTGCAGCCAGAGGAGAAGCGGCAGCGCTGGGGCCTTGCTCTGCCAAAAGCTGGGAGAAGCATGTGGGGTCAGGGATGATAAGCCTGAGACCCACGGCTTCCTTCACTGCTTGGGGGGCTGTCTGCGCTTTGGGACTAGATGACCTCCAGGCTTCTGCAGTCATCTTCTTGCCATAGCAAACCACCCAGGCTCCTTGCTTGCCGAGACAGCCCCACCATTCCCTGCCCATCTCTGCCTCCCCCCACAGCTTCAAAGTCACTGTATTGTGCACAGGCACCAGCTGTGTATCTCCCCCAGCACTTCTGACCTGGCATGTCCCCTGCCCAGCACACACCTCTGCTGTGCCCATTGCTGATCTTGCCAGAGCCATGCAACCCTCCGGGGCCATGTCCCTGCATTGTCCCACAGAGCCTGGGGTTGACACATCTCCCCTTCCCATCCCAGCACTCTGCCATGTCCACCAAGGGGCCCAGTTCAGCACAGGACTGCTGTTACCAACTCCCGAGCTGGAGGAGAACAAGCTGAACATTTGTCAGTCTGGGATGGAAATGCACCAGACCTCACGGAGCAGGCAAGCAGCAGACCGGAGGCTGCACTGGAGGCCCAAAAGGCAGCAGACAGAAAACAGCCTGGCAGGAGGTGGGTTGCTTTATTGGCCTTTATCTCCTTGGCTGCAGATAACACACACAGGGCAACTCATGGCAAAGAAACAGTATATACAGAGTGTCCATATAAATATTTCCAATGTACATTTTATACACAAGTGACAGAGACATTCCACAGCAGCGTCCAAAGCCTTGGGGTGCCAGCGCTCAGCTGCAGGCTTGGCCCAAAACCAATGGGAGATGCTCATCTCCTCTCTCCTCTTGCTCAGCCAGAGACCAGCCCCGCCTGGGCATCAGCGGGAGCCAACGGGGATGCTCTGATGGAGACACTGTGTATGGCTTTGGGGCTTGAACCTGGAAGGACAGTGACTCTACAGACAGACAGACACAGCTGGGGATCCCAGGGTGACCATCCTCTTCCCCCTCTAGGTCACCAGGGAGGCTGGAGAGGCCTTCATCAAGGGGCTGCGTGGGAGAGATGCTCCCTTTGCTTCAGCACGTGGGGAGTGGTACCAGTGAGCGCATCCCTTCCTGCACCAGCGAGAAGCAGAGAGGAGCACAGGGGTGCAGTGGAGAAACATGCACCTCCTGCTGCCCCCCACCTCCCCACTGCACCAGGGGTGCACAGCAAGGCTGACACGGGAGGGAAGGCAGGAGGGAGGTGCCCAAACTGTCCTACTCTTTGGGAGAGCGGGTGCAGCAATCACCTTCCCCAGTACCAGCTGTGCAGGGGAGGGCCACACACCTGAACTGCCTCCAGCCCCTGTATTATCTACATGTGTGTGTGATGGGGGGCACAGAGAAACTGCCTCTCCTCCCCCTGTACCGGTCATGAGAACGGGGTGTGCTGGAGCCCCTCTGCAAGCTGACAGTGCCGGGTCTGCACAGCCCCCCGCCCCAGCGGCATGGGCAGAGTCCACAGGAACTGGTGCAGAGGAGCAGGCTGCTGGCTCCCCAGCCTCCTCCTGGCCGCAACGGGGGTCCCGATGGGGGAGCGATCGCGGCGGGCAGCCCGGCTGCGCTGGTCTCGGACCCGCTCCTGTGGCCCTGGTCCCCTGGCAGAGCTGGAAGGCGGCCGTGGGGTGAGCGGAGGGCCCATGAGGAGCTAGACAGCACTGGGGCTGGAGCCGAGCTCAGCTGGCACCACGGTGCAGGCATTGTTGTTGGCGTTGGTGTTGCGGCGGGACAGGCTGGGGGTCAGCGTGGTGACGGCACTGTCACTGGGGCATCCGTGCTGCAGCAGGATGTCGATGCACTCCTGGCTGCCGGCTCGCCGGGCGTAGGCCAGCGGGGTCAGGCCCCGAGCGTCCCGGCTCTTCACATCCACCCCGTACTGTGCAGGAGAGAAAGCAGCCAGTCAGCGGCACCCAGATGCCACATAACCCATGGGCATGGGCGTGGCGGCACAGCAAGAGCACCGGCAGAGGCAGAGGGGCTCTATGGCACTGGGGTGGGCAGGGAGAGGGAGATGGCAGGGTGGGCAGGGCAGTGCCAGTGGGCATGTGGGGGAACCCATGGGAGGAGGATGGACGAGGGGTGTCCCGAGAGGTGCTGCAGTGGGGAAGCACCGGGATAGGGCCAGAAACGCTGTGGTGGAGGCTGCGAGGTCCTGTCTTACCCAGATGAGCAGCTGTGTGAAGACTACGTTGGCCATGGCGCAGGAGAGATGCAGTGCCGTGCGCCCATCTCCATCACCATAGGTCTCATTCACTTCTTCCTTGGTGCCATGGGCCAGGAGCGTCACCACAAGGCGCAGGTCATCCTCTACCACAGCCCGCAGCAGCTGCTGGCCCAGCGGGATGTCCGACTGGGGCAGCGGAGCCAGGAAGAGCTTCTGCTCATACTTGGCCCGGATCCAGCGCTCCTTCTCCTCCCTGCCAGATGGGACACTGTCACAGGTGGGTCAACCTGCCTGGGCTCCATGTGCAAAGGGGCATGCATACCAGCACTGTCACCCCGAGTGCACCCCGTGTTAGCAGTGAGCATTTGTCACACACAGGCATGCCTCGCATAGCCCCGCTGCAGGCACCTCCCCTGCTGTGCACGCCCCCGCGCATGGCTGTCACTGGGGCTCTGTCACACTGCTCCGGACAGATGCCTGAGACACACTTGTCCCACTGCACCTCCTTATAGCTCCCTACGTACACTGTGCACTTATGTCCATGCATGTACAGCAGCAGCATCCCACACCCAGACCCCACACCTGTCACTGTGCAAAGGAACACCCACACCTCTATGCTAGTGCCCCTACATACTCTCCTGTGTGCCCACTGCGTGGGGACCGACTCTGTCCCGCGCTTGTGTGTGGGCCATGGCCAGCGGCAAGAAAAGGTTAGCTGCTGCACATGACAGCCCAGTGCCACGGGAGGCACGTTATCACTGCTGCCGTCTCGCCTGGTGCAAACAAAGGCTGCGGCAGCGTCCGTCCCGCCTGGGGCTGCGGGGCCGGGCAGATCGATGTGTGCCGTGCCGCTGCTATCTGCTGCCATTCTATCCATCTGCATCTGGCGGGCGGCCATCAATGCCCTGCGCGGAGCATGCTCACTCCTGCCGCCCCCTGACCCGCTCTTATCCGTTGATAAGCTGCAGAATGGGCTCTTGTTGGGATGAGTGACAGGAGAGTCGCTCCGATAGGGACAGACAAGGGCCTGAAAGGGACGCACCCTTGAGACCAGCACAACGCTGCCAAGCCATCTCTGTTAACCCCTTCCGCTTTGCAGCCAGCCACAGCTCCGGCAGTCACCGCATGGCCATGGCTGGCCATGAAGCCCTGCTAGCCCACCAGGACAGTGGGAGAGGGCCTCCACGGCCCAGAGAGCAGGCAGGACCCCGAACACTGGAGTACCTCGAGGATTCCTGCCCACCTCTCTGTTTGACTGGATGGCTGCGCCCAACCTCTTGTGGTGCCCTCAAGCCTCCCAGTGTGGTTGTCTGAGCAGCATCTCTGCAGTTCCCAATCTCCCTTACCGGCTGCTGTCAGGGGTGGGCTTGGGGTAGCCTTCCACCGCTCCTTCCCAGACAGCGTTGGCCAGGGCATTGCCGATGGCTGTCATGACCATGAGAAGCTCACTAGGCCAGTCGTCCAGGTCCAAGGAGCGCACGCGGGACAGGTGGGTGCCCAGGTTGCGATGGATCCCAGAGCACTCAATGCACATGAGGGAGCCCAGGTTCAGACTTGCCCAGTCCGGATCTGAGGGCAGCAACATCAGTGGGGGAAGAGTTAAATAGCAGCATGCACTCACCAGCCTGTCTCCTATGATCCAGGAGACACATATTTGCAGCCACCTGCCCAGCGGATCCCTTCCGAGCCCAGTGCCCCAGCAGCACAGAGAGGCAAGGCCCCCAGGCTGGTGAGTAAGGGGTCACAGACCAGCGTGGCAGGTGGCTCAGTAGCCCATGCCTGAAGAATGGGCCCACTGCAGGAGAGGACAAGACAGCCCCACGGTGTATGTCTCTTTGGGGTAAGAGAGGAGGTGGCTGGGATGGAGTCCCTCTCCCCTCCCTGGGTGAGCAGCCCCACCTCCCAGTTTCTCCCCACTGTTTCTTACTTGGTGCGTCGCAGTCCACACAGAAGCTGTTCCCACGTGCGGTGCGGACGGCCTGCATGGCCTGCGCATCGCTCTGGCTGCCCAGCCGAGCCTGAAACAAAATGCACGGGAACCCCATTTACTCAAGGCCAACTGCCCTGCCATGTGTCCTCTCATCACCAGCCCAAGAGCCCGTCGGGGAGCTGCCAGCACCTTGCTCCAGCAGGCACCCCGCAGGCTCTGCTGCAGGAGTGGTGTCCAGCACGGGGGCTCAGAGGACGGGGTCTGGAGGGAACATCGATTCCTAGCCCACTGTGTGTCGGAGGAGCAGGGGATGGTGGGCTGGAAGGGGGAACGAAAAGGCAGAGCTGTCCAAGGAGGGAGCGGACAGCGCAGGATCCAGCCCTGGCGGGATGCAGAGAGCTCCGTGGGGCCAGAGCCAGGCTGGGGAGACGACAGGGAGCTCAGAGAGGTGACAGGACACCTGAGGTGGAGCACAGTCCCAGAGATGGGATTCAAACCTGACTGGGAGCAGAGAGATCAGGTCGGGATCCAGTCTGGACAGACAGGGAAGCCTGGACAGGGATGGACGCAGCAAAGCAGGTGGCAGAGAGGAGGGAACGAAGCAGAACTCGGCCAAGGCCTCTTACCTTATTTTTGCTGCTCTCACAGCCCTGCAGGCTGGCCAGGATCTGGCTTTCAATGGCCTGGACCCAAAGCTCTCGCTCCTCTGACGTTGAGGCCTCAAAGAGCCACGTCTGGCCCGTCAGGGACACGATAATGAACTCAAATGGCTCATCTGGTTCTGGAAAAGAAAGGTGTGCCATGACATGGGTCAGGGAAGGAGGGGGTCTGCCAGCCTCGCAGGGCGTGAGCAGACAGACAGATCCCTCTGGGCCACCGCTGTGCCCGTGCACGGGCAGGATCGCCGGCAGCAGCGGCCCCTGGGAGACTGGGACCGGGAAGTGAAGGCGGAGAGTGCCTGCAGGGAGGAACCAGAGCTCTGCGCCAGGCCATCACTCCTGCTGCTTGCACAGCTCCCTGCGTGCCAGCTCTAGTAGCGTGGGCTTGCTTTTCCTGCCGCACGCGAACACCCGCAGCCTTGTTCCCCCATCATCCCGGGCCAGGAGACCCAGGAGGGTGTAGCATTGGACTCCTGGAAGCTGTCTGTGCCCTGCTCTCCACGCCCTCGATGTCCCACCCTTGGAAAAAGCTGCTGACCTCTTGAGCAGTGAAATCAGCTCCTCCGCAGAGCTGCTGCCCCCCCCCAAACAGCCCCATCACCCTCAAGAGCCCATGGAGTGCTTGGTGCCTGCTGATGAGTGGCTTTAGTGGGACAGGGCCCTGCATACTGAATCAGGAGATGCAAAGAGGGTCCATGCAGTGGGCTCAAAGGCAGCTCTTCACAGACCTGTGCATTGAGAAGGGGCATCATCGCCAGCTGAGGAGCGCAGCAGGGCAGGGATCCCGCTTGGGAAGCCCTCGGTGCCTGGGTGCTCCACGGACCCACACAACAGGGCACAGCTGCTGTTTTCCCATAAAGAGGCATTAAGTCAGAGAGACCCAGGCAGGAGCCATGGAGAGGCAAGAGCGATGCCATTCTCAGCTCTGGCACCTCTCAGTGCCCTGCTGGGCAGATGGCCTCTGGCTCCCAAACTGGGGAAGCTGGTGGCCACAGGGGTCCCTGGAAGTCGGCCGAGCAGAGCTGCTTCCATGAGGCGTGTGGACGGCAGTGGGCAGCGGGGACACATGCAGGGCAAAGTGCCCGGGAGGGCACGGCCAGGCAACCTGCTCCTCAGCCTCTCCTCTGTGCAGCACCGGCATCTGCGCCCTGCAAGCAACTCCAGAAGATACAGCCTCAGTATTAAAGCACTTCCCTGGCCGTGAAACACGTGGGGACAAATTCCTGACTTTCCATCTTCAGGGAAGATAATTTTTGTGAGCCCCAAGGGTTGCTCAGACCACCAGGCACTTACAGGCTGGGTACAAACGGAAGTGTTAGCATCCCTACAAATGCAGGCTGCCTGGTGCGTTTCCAGGGAGGGTGTCAAAGCACGGGCACCTCTGCGCTGGGTGGCAGAGCCAGGAGCAGAGAGATGGGGGTCAGTGAAAATGTGTGAAAGCACCTCAGGCCCCCTGGGCCTAAGGAAACAGCCCCAAAACAACCAAGAGCCTGCTGAAAACCAAGGCTTAAAATGTGGTCTCCCCTGCTGGCTACTGCTCTGATTGCTGTAACGCCCCCCCAGTCTGGGCTGCCAGTGCTGGGCTCTGCCCTGCCAGCCCTTGCCATGGGCTGCACCGAGTGGGCGCATGGACCTCAGCTTTACATGGGGTGCCCTACATGTCTCATCTTTGCACCCGAGCACCACCAGCATTTACCTTTTATTGCCAACTTCAGTAGTTAGTGCAGTAAATGACTTAACTAAGCGGGGCCTGAATGGAATGACTAATAAACGTTATGTCACAGCACACGCTTCAGCTCATAGCAAAATGATTTGTAATTACCTAATTAGCGTTATGCAAATAACACCCTCATCTCCATAATGTGCCTTCCCAGCTCTCTATTAAAAGCAGGGAGTCAACTGCACAGCTCCAGAGACAGCAAGGAGGCCAAGGGGACCAGCCTGGTCCACAGCAAGGCAGAGCTGTGCTGGCCTCCAGCCTGGCAGGGTCTGTGCCCGCTGGGGCAGACACGGGGAGGCAAGTGGAGGGGGTCCTCTCTTCTGCCCAACTTCCCCTGCAAGCTGCGGCCAGAAGAGTCTCTTACTGTAGAAGGAAGCAGCAAGAGGGCAATGACTGAGGAACTTGCTGCAGCCTGCAGCACCCCAGCAGAGCTAATGAATGGGCGCAGAGACCACCAGCCGGGTCCCACCAAGGGCATGGTCAACCTCAGCTGCTGCTGGGCTGCCTGGCACTGGCTGAGCAAGACCGTGTCAACGAACACTCTCAGAAAATGGGTGCAGCCATGGGAAGTCTCCTTGAGGAAAGACAGCTTCGATGGGGCTGGCGGGAGAGCGCAGCCCTTCCTCTCTTGTAAGTGCTCTCTCCAGGCTCTCGTTTCCTTCGCAGGCACCACCACCTGCATTAACAAGTACCGGGCACAGCACCCAACTCTTATCTCTTTCCATCATGCACAGCTGCTTACCCCAGAACAACCTGAGGGTAAAATGCTGCTTCTGCTACTGTGCCACGGTGGAGAGTGTCATGCTACTCATGCAGCGGGCTCAGGATCTTGTATTTCATGGGGGCTAAAAGCATGAGTGACATCTAGTTGGAAAGAAGCCTGCCCTTTGCCATGGCTGAGACCACTCCATGGTGTGTCCTGCACAGATCCCAGCAGCAGCCATGGGGGCTTGGAGATAATTAGCGCTGATGAAATGGACTGGTGCAGGAATGCAAGGCTTGGTCTCCACACCAGCAGACCCTTGGGAGGATCAAATAACTCCGGGGAGAAAGGCTCTCCAGGTGAAGTGCCAACTGGCTTGCCTTTCCCGGATGGGAAGGGGAGGCTGTTTCACTCCTTTCACCATAGAATCAGCTGGGGACTCTTCCTCTGAGGAAAGATGTCTGCAACTGCCTTTCTCCTGCTGGGAAGGAGAAACTCTGGGGCATCAGGAGGAGGACAAGACTGCAAGGTGCTGGCAGCCAGTCACGCTGCTGGACTCTCCTCCTTTTTGCGATGCACTTGCCTAAGCAGGACATCAAGGCTGCCCAGCACTTCGCCCTTTCCTCCAGCTCTCAGCCACAGCAGAGACCCCACAGTCCCTGCTCTGGGGAGCTCCCTGCAGGCAACATGCCTCCTACCCTAAGGATATTTGCTGTGGAGGCTCCAAGGACACCAAATCCCAGCTCAGAAACAAGATTCTTGGAAAATATACAGCTGGTAGCTTCTGAATACTGGGAGAAGAAATAACCAGACAACAGCCAGGCTAATAGCCACTGTCCCCTCGGCTAGCTAGCACCATTCGCTTTGTGAGCACTGCCAGACCCTGGACATGGGCAGGGAGCACCCAACCACTGATGGCAGCCAGCAGTCAGGCGACGCAGGAACCTACGACCACAGCACTCAGCTGGACCTGCCCTGCCCCTGCTCAGCTCCAGCCCACCCGTGAGCAAGCAGCTGCTGCCACCTCTTCCACCATCCCAACCTGTGACTGGGATCTGCAGTCCAGGGACTCGAGTGCTCCAGCTGTTCTGAGACAGTTCCTTCTCCCTCTGCAGGAGGCTGCAATAGAGCAGGGATCAGGCCCTAAGAGCTGCAGAACCAATTGCTGCCCAAGGCAAAGCATTAAGAGACAGGAAGGAAAGAGTGGCTTTTTTTCCTGGGGGGCAGTGACTGCCCAGGTGCTTGAGGGAGCATTTGCAGTTCCCAGATCTCGGATCAGGCCACACCATTGGAGCAGCGACCAACAAAGCCACTCCTGGGGCACCCCAATGTATCAGAATGGGCCCTATTCTCCTTAAATCTCTCCCACCCTTGGTCTGAGCCACCTGTGGCAGCTGTCAGTGTGTTGCAAAGCCCACTTGGACCTGGCAAGTACTGGATCCACTTGAAGTGCTCCCTGCTGCTGAGCCGCTTCTGCTGCCACTGAAACAGCAGCAAGCAGGTCGGCACAGTCCCTGGGACACGGGATTTCTGCCATGGGCTCACATGACTCCATCCTCCTTGTTCCTTTCTCTCGCTTGCTCAGTACCTCCCCACCAAACACGCAGGCAGGAATCCCAGCCCAAGCGTTCCTGAGCCAGTGTGCTTCCCAGCAGAGACGAGGCAGCAAACGCCAGCCCTGCAGTGCCTGCCTGCCCCAAGGCTCCCACGCAGGGCTCGCTGGTTCTCCTCTGAGGTGTCTCTGCCTCAGGTGCTGTGCTGGGGCAGGGGGTACTGTATATCTCCCAGTCCTCTGCTCAGGATGCTCACAGAGGAGGTGCAGGCAGCTCTGCCTGCTGGGGTCCCTGCTGGGCTGCCCACACCGGCAAACAGCAAGGTTTCTGGGGCTCCAACCCCACTCACATGGACTTTCCCAGCATCACAGCTCAGGGGCATCCTGGAGCATGGGGCTGCCCGATCCCAGCCCTGGCAGCAGTCCCAGTCAGACCAAAGCCCTAGCGTCGGCTTTGCAAGCCACAGGACCTCCATTCCCCTTCCTCCTTTGTGCCTCATGGATTCCAGCTTTACTCTGAACAAAGAGCCTGTTGCTCTCAGCAGAGCCGGGGAAGAGCTAACAAAGGACGACAGCTTTTCTTCCACACTAAGGCTTCTTTTGCAAGCAAAATCACCACCTCTCTCCCTGCAGCAACACAGGACAGCACTGCCGGGTTAGACCTCCTTGGAGGCTTCAGCACGGCATGGCTATGGCAGGAAAGCAGGCAGCTGCGGGATTGCTCACTTGGATTCGCACGCAGGATTTGGCAGAGCTGGGAAGGGAATCGAGAACTCAGAGCAGCTTTGAACAGCGTGCAGGCCCAGCTTCTTGGACGGTCTGGGATGAGTTCTTGAGCTCCTGGGGGGGCCCGTACAAGTTGAATCAGACTTAAGCAATAGCTTCAGGGAAAGGGGCTTTCTCAGATTTTTCTGGGGAGAGGCACAGGTTTCTGATGTGGCAGGGGCATTTCTGGCCAGATGAAAGAGTAGCACAAAGTATAGGACACAGGCAGAAGGATTTGGACTACCTCTGTTGAAGCAGAGTTGGCAGAACACCCTTCCCTGCACCATGTGCAGGGGACAGGCTCCTTTCTGGTGGCCAGGGTGGCCAGAAGAGCCCCAGAGCTCACCAGCTCAGACTTAGCAGGGCTAAGGTCCTGGAGGAA